AACTTTCCACTTTCAGCAGAAGAATGTGAAAACACCCTTCTAGTGTATACATGCAGTAGTCATGTCTTACCTGTACAGTAAAAGGTGAGGAAGAAGAGGAGCAGGCCGGTGACCAGGTTCCCCAGGAAAGTGACTACTCCACAAGTGATGCCTTCAGGGACCGGATACACCGTCTCGATGAAGAGCTCGAAGAATATTGGCACACTGCTGTTAATGAATATGCCCACCAGGATGCAGGACGTGTACAGGATGGCTGCAAAATGACAAAATAAACAGCAGAACAACAATAAGTTACACTTAAATTGAAAAAAACTGATGTAGTAGGGTATCACATCCCATCAGAGCTACTATTTAAAAAAGATGGCATAATGGTTAAGTTTATGGAACAGCAGTGGTGATTTATGCCGCCTTCCACAGCCTCCTGCTGTGCAATTTGTTCTCAGCAACACTAAGATTTATGATGAATCCTCATCCTGAAACAACATTTCAATTAGAATGCCATCCCTTGAGGTGGCAATTTACTGGAGACAAAACCAAAATACTGTAGGTGTAAGGGTGGAAAATGGCCACTTTTCAACCAAAACATCACCCCCAACTCCACCATGGCCTCCACCTGGTCTGCAGTGTCCAATTTGTCAGAGTTGTCCTATGAACTGTGTTTCTGGCCTATTCCCTTTGCTTATAATCACATCCATGTTTCAAAATTACAAATCTGGCCAAGCATTCCATGTCACCTCCGATGTCATTCTGAACTATGGATGCATTTGGGTCAGTATCAAGAAAGTATTGAGGTTTAAAACTCTGCTCTAGTTATAACACTCTATAGGCAGGGACATTCCTCCCAGTGTATCACGGGAAAGTTTTGATGGCACTGTGACAGAAATTCAATTTGAATTTCTTTTGTAACACTTTGCTGTTTTTAGTTTATTTGCACACTTGGCATTAGGATGCAACTCATTTCACAGATTCTACAGCATATTAAAATCCAATTGCTGACTCTTTTGCCAAAATGTGCAGATGCCAACATAGTAAACAGCTCGTCTCATTTGCTCCTCAGCCATGAGGAGAATGTAACTGTCGACACTGTCCACTGCTGGTTTAATTTGGGTGCGTTTTGGTTGAATAAAAAAATAAAATAAAAAAACAATTCTAGAGTGAATTTTTTAATTGAATATCATGATGCGTTGACTAGCTCATTCTATTTCCCACAATGAATCTTGCAGAGGTCATTCTTTGCAGAAGTGTGTGTAATATAGACTTACTGATTCAACATACAGCATTTCATTGTCACCTGTGTGTGTGTGTGTTCATGTCTGTAGAGCAATCAGAAAGCGTTCAATATGTTTGGCCAGCTCAGGGTGTAGTCTCAGCTGCAGTCCTTTGGCTGGGACCTAAAGTAAAATGTGTGAATGTGTATTAGAGTGGATGTGCGGAGAGATTAAGCCATCACCTCTGGAGCATCACGGCACCCTCCATCTCGCTCATCACAGCAGATTGGTCCAAATGAGCTCCCCATTAGCCTGCACGTCCCTTTAATCACAGTGCCTCTGAGGGCCCTAGCGTGCCTGCCTGCCTGCCTGCCTGTGACGGGGAACCCATGAGCCACTTGCCCAGCCATCAAAGACAGCCTTCTCCCTGCTCGTCTTTATTCAACCCTAATGAAGCACTGATATCAAACACTTAGGACCGATTCAACCACTGCACTTTTCCCCCCACACGTTATTGAATTAGGCTATCTGGCGCCAATTCCCAGAAGCCAGTAGTAGATCCCTTGATGGAAGGACACATGTGACGAGCACAGCAAAAGAGGAACATGGGATGTCACTTGGCCTGAAGAGAAGACAATGTTTTTTTTTTTTCTAGAAACTATATTGGGGTTGTACACTGACTTCTTTTCTCATTATCTGACGTATCCTGTGTTGCCTCAGAAGGTACAGCAACTAAAGGCAAGCAAGGAAACGCATGTTTCAAAAAAGATGTTTTCACTCTTCTGCTGACTGGCTTTGGTAAGAGTTTGACTATGTTAGATAGTTTGTTGATCTGATTGGTTAATGTTCGCCCATGATAGATGGTTCATCCACTCACCTGCAGAGTATTCTTTGACAGGATAATGTGAAGTACCAACTGAATCCACAAGGATGTCAAGAACTTTAGACCACAGTAAAACAGCTGATAACTTCTACGCAAATGATTTAGATATTTCCTTTTTTTTTCTTCAAAAGACTAGACACTTGAATTTAAAGATATATCGTGAGACAGATAAATTGTGATACAAATATGCAAAGATTCTAATTGGTGAGATGAAGAAAGAATCATGACACCCTTTTCTAAACAGCAGAGGGTGTTATCTACTTTTGACTTTGCTTGTTTGACTATATATATGCATTGCTTTTCAATTTATACTATTCCTCAGAAATAAAATAAAAAATTCTATCATTTGATAAAGAGAATATACGTGAAAATATATATTTTTTCAATGATGATTTGTCTGCAATCAGAAGATCATCAGAAGATCATACCGTGCACCCAGTATCCTGCATTGTTACATCCCTACTGATCATTTGTTCACAGCAACTGCAGATTACTCAGATCTGGGTGTGTGCTACTGACCATCCCACGATGGGATGATGAGCTGTTTTGGCAGTTTTTGTTGCAGTATAACACCACCCTCTTGTATTATATGCCAGGTGGTGAACAAGGTTGGAGCCTAGCTGCTGCAGACTGCCAGTGTCTGGGATAAGAGGAAGTGAGACAGGGAGAGAGTAGTGCCAGGGCCTGGAGAATGATGATGGATGATGATGGCTAGAATCAGTGGCTTTGAACCGCATGCTGGTATGCTTATTGGTTTGGCTTAGGAAAAGGCAGCTAAGTCCAGTTCAATGTCCCTAATGGGTTTATCACTGACGTCTACAAATGGATTGGTTCTGCTGAATATCTACCAAAGTAAGTGTTTGGAAAGTGAGACATGTTTTTTCATTATTTTTGGCCCAGTACTCCAACACTTGAGTGTAACTACAGTAACTACATGGTTGACTTTAAGCTTTCAGGGTGTTTGAGGGTGTACACCCATACTGGCTGAATGGTGTATGACACCTTTTATACATAGTATAAAGTAATTTATATAATATATATTATTTATAATTATTAGTTATTAAGTATGTATAATTTATATACTTAATAATTTCTTTATTAAATATAATTTTAGGACAATGTAGACCAGATCAGGCCAGGCAAATGTGGAGTTTTTAGGCCCAAACTGTGAAATGTTCTTGAGCATCAGAGATAGTCACATGACCTCGATCCAGCTGATCATGTGTTTTGTTTGCTGAGAACCAGACTGAAGGCAAAAATACTACACAAGCAAGTAGTGAAGCTGCTGCACCAGGGAAAGGTCTGCTGACATAATTCATTCTCTGCCTCAAGGAATCCATCAAAATGACTGTTATAAAAAAAAAAACTGAATTGACTGAATTCATTTTAGTTGTGGCTTGAATCTCCCAGCTGCACTGTATGTATGCAATGTCACCTTTACAGTGATGCTGCTGTGGACCTACCTGCAGTAGAGGGGAGGTGAGTGTATCTGCTCAGACAAGTTAATGTGAACCAGGTAGAGGACAGTGAGGCTCCTGCCAGCATCAGCACCAGGATCAGCTTCAACATCCCCCGAATAGAGTCTGCAAACCTGAGGTTGGGTGGAGGGAAGGGGGGAGAAAGGGGAATATCAATTTATTAAAAAAACAGTGAGGCAAAGTACAACATATTCAAGATACGGATCCTGAAATACACCAGGACAAAGAGCCGACAAAATTACAGAAGTGAGCAAAGACAGCTGCTTCAGAAACAAGAGGCATCCTTCATAAACACAATGAGCAGCTAAGCAATTTCTAAGTGTCTGTTTCCTCTGTGACTTGTGTCATAATCTATTACCGGAGACATGCATTGTTTCAGAGAAAGGCTAGATCATTTCCTTCTCCCACTTGTTTCTGAGTGCATCAGTTGTACTTGTCATTACACAAGCACAGTTGATTCAATTTGTCTCACCAGCTAAGCAGGCGGACTTGAGATGCGCATTGTGTTATATTGCGGAAGACAAGCCATCGGGCCATTCCCAAACTCTCTTGAGCACTGTGGTTTCTCTTTGTAGCCCTTTATAAACCCCCATAGTTCATTAACTCCTCTCCGCTCCTCTGGGTCTGCACATGTATGCTTGTGAAAGATTAGATGAAGCTCCACAAGCCTGTAGCAAAGACAGACACTAATTACTTTTGTTTTGTTGCTCACGGACAGGATGCTCAAGAAAAGAGGCCTGAACTTGACAATGAACTTAGCGGCAGAATAAAAGAAGTGTTGGAAATGGCTGATTAGTTCAGCTAAGTTGTGAAGTTCTGTCAGTATGCCGAGGGCCAGGGGATGTGGGAAATCATCCTTTGGACGGATAATGAGAACTTCTCCACTCAGTATGTTCCCGGGTGACATTTTTAGATGATATCAATGTCTCCTGGGATTTCACAAGCTGTCATTCACAGCCTCAACACATTACCTCCATGTTCACAGGACATCAGCTACATTCTGAAATCCTACCTTTGGAATCCTGATCCATGTGAGAGAGTTTAGAGCAAGGTATGGGTAACTGGGATAGCACAATGAAGTCTTTTCTGAGAAAAACATCTAAAGCTCTCATATTTCTGTTTACAACAATGAGCTGGTTGCACTGGAAAAGGCTGACTAGTCAGAGGGCCAAGCGCTTACCACAAGACAGAGATGTCTGGTTTCCCCTGCCCACAGCTACACCCCTAAAATCTGCATCTCCCATCTGCCATTGACTGGCTCTTATCCACAACCCTTCAACCACCCCTGGTACCAGAGAGGGATGAAATCCTTAGCCTGCACCCAGTCCAGCCTTCATCTCTTTGCGGAGAGGATCACAGGCTACTCCTGTGTATCAATTCCAATCGGATCCTCTAGGCAGAAACACCATAAGTAGCTTATTTGCTAATACTAACTCTGACGGCCCCTGAGTCCAATTGATAAAGAGCCTGCTCACTGATTGGCAAGATAAGTCAGGTGCGACACAGATTGAATTAAACTAATACAACTGAGCACAGTTTGGGTTTTGAAAACCGCTGGCGCACAGTTCGCTAAAAGCAATATAAATATCATCACGTCTTATTTTTGTAAAGGGTAAAGACAGCGATAATCTGTGAACAGTCAATGCTGCTGACAAGTAATGTATGTGCAGTCAAAAGCCTATAAGATATACAGCAACTTAATTTCTCTGTGCCACAGAACTTGATTGTTGCCCAATAACAATTAAAAACACATCAATGAGCCGTACTGTTGCACTGGGTGTTTCATAATTACCATAAACATTGAACATAGCTTATTTTGAGTAAATCCCACATACACCATCCTGTTGCGTTATTAGAGCACCAAATGTATTAATCCGAGGCTGAAAGTGATCCCCAGCAAATGCCTTATTGGTAACACTTGTCTGCTGACTAGAGTACCCATTACAGACATTACTGCACCTTGTGTAAAAATTTTAAAAAATATCACCAGTTTTTAAAGATTTACATCATTAGTAGAAACAAAAGGGCATTACACAAACAGCGTAGGGATTTGTTGACAATAAAAAAATACTGAATAATACTGAACAAGAAAACACTTTGCTATGAAGGTTTGCATGTCTCCAGTAATGTAATTCAGAGCTCTGTTACACTAGTCAGTGAGTAAAGAGGGTCATGTCATCTCATGAGGTAATGTCAGAATTAAAAGCCTATCTTTTACACTGCTCTAACCGGATTTATTGGCCATAAAGATAGCATCATTTAAGTCATGTAGAATCAAATTCCACTTTCTGCTCTCCCACTGCCTGAGGGGAATTATGAAATATCATCATCAGTGTGATATTATCAATTGGGCCTGTCTATGAGCGGGTGAGTGAGGGACATGCAGTAAATAACCAAAATGGACGTTGACGGTATAATATGATGACCAGCATGCAATCACAGGTCCTACACAGTTGCAGGCAAAACAAATTAGGCAGTGGCTGAAACTCATTTCTGTTTGCTCTATCTCATCTCATTAACCTGGAGTATTGTCTCGCTCAGACCTTTGTGATGTGAAGGAGAATAACCTGGTTCTGTTTTCTGCCACCTCCTCCTCCTCCTCC